TCTGCTGGGGAAGAGAAATAATACTGTCAGTCAGTATGACATGCAGATGAGTGCCGTCCATCTTAGAATCACCGCACACTTCACTCATTTGGGCAGTCACGGGGCCAAAACCAGAGTGTGGAGCCACAGTGTGGCGGTGGAGGCAGCAGCAATGGGAGGCCATACAGCACCCTATGACAAAATGGAAACCCACCAGCAGTGTGAGGAGACCTGAAAGTGGCACATGGCAGAGTGTGGCGATGGAGACAGCAGCAATGGGAGGCGGTACAAGGGACCCATGACACACTCTGGACCTGGCAGCAGCATGAGGAGGCGGTACAGGGGCCCATGACACACTAAATCTGGACCTGGCAGCAGCATGAGGAGGCGGTACGGGGGCCCATGGCAGATTACGGGCCTGACAGCAGCATGAGGAGGCGGTACAGGGGCCCATGGCAAGAGAAGAAGAAGAGGAGAGGATGAGGATGAAGAAGAAGAAGAAGAAGGTAAATGAGAAGATGAAGAGAAAGAAGTAGGATGAGGATGAAGAAGAAGAAGAAGAAAAGAAGTAGGATGAGGATGAAGAAGAGGAAGAAGAAGAAGATTAAGAAGAAGTAGTAGTGATGAGGATGAAGAAGAAGAAGAAGAAGATGAGGATGAGAAGAGAAGAAGAAGATTTTTTGAAGAAGAAGAAGAAGAAGAAGGGATGAGGATGAAGAAGAAGAAGAAGAAGAAGAGGATGAAGAAGAAGAAAAGAAGGGATGAGAAGAAGAAGTAAGAAGAAGAGGAATGAAGAAGAAGAAGAGGTATGAGAAAGGATGAAGAAGAAGAAGAAGAAGAAGAAGAAGTAGGATGAGGATGAAGGAGAAGAAGAGAAGAAGAATGGCAGGAAGAAGAAGAAGAAGAAGAAGTAGGATGAGGATGAAGAAAGAAGAAGAAGAAGAAGAAGAGGATGAGGAAAGTAGAAGAAGAAGAGGAGAAGTGAGGATTTTTGAGAAGAAGAAGAAGAAGTAGGATGAGGATGAAGAAGAAGAAGAAGAAGAGATTTTTTTTTTTTATCTAGAGAAGAAGGATGAAGGATGAAGAAGAAGAAGGAAGAAGAAGAAGAAGAAGAAGAAGAAGTGAGGATGAAGAAAGAAGACGAAGAAGAAGAAGGATAGAGGATGAAAAAAGAGAAGAAGAAAGTAGAAGTGAGGATGAATGAAGAAGAAGAAGAAGAATAGATGAGGATGAAGAAGAAGAAAATGAAGATGAAAGAGGATGAATGAAGAAGAAGAAGAATAAGTAGGATGAAGGATGAAGAAGAAGAAGAAGAAAGGAAGAAGTAGGGATGAGGATGAAGAAGAAGAAGTTTTTTAAGAAGAAGGATTTTTTTTTTATTTTTTTTTTGAAGAAGAAGAAGAAGGATGAAGAAGTAGATGAGGATGAAAGAAGAAGAAGAGGATGAGGAGGATGAAGAAGAAGAAGAAGATAGGTGAGGATGAAGAAGAAGAAGAAAAAGAAGAAGAAGAATTTTTAGGATGAGGATGAAAGAAGAAGAAAGAAGTAGGATGAGGAAGAGAAGGATATAGAAGAAGAAGAAGGATATGAGGATTTTTATGATTTTTTTTCTTTTTTTGAGGATTTATGAAGAAGATTTTTTAAGAATGAAGAAGAAGAATGAGGATGATTTTTTTTTTTAGAAGAGAGAAGAAATTTTTCTTTTTTTGGATGATTTTTTAGAAGAAGAAGAAGTTTTTTTTTTTAAGAAGTAGGATGAGATGAAGAAGAAGAAGAAAGTTTATTCCAGGATGAATTTTTTTTTTTAGGAAGAAAAGAAGAAGAAGAAGTTTATATTTTTTTTGAAGAAGAATTCCAAATTCAGCAAAAAAAGTTTTTTTTATTTTTGTTTGCAGAGAGCTTTATTTTTGGAGTTATTCTCTGACAGTTCCTTCACATTTACAGCGGTTTGAAATTATTTATTATCTATTTGTTTCCATTTAGGATACAGATTTTTTTTTATTCGGAAAAAAATAGATACAATTTTTTCAACCGCTGTAAATGGAGGGAACTGTCCCAGAACTGTCAGAAATAGCGGAGCTCTCTGCAGGGACACTTTTTTTTGTTTTGTTAGAAGGGATGAAAATTTTATTTTTTTCGGGGAAAATTCGATTCGTGCATCCGAAGTTTAATATTCGGATTCGACGTTTTGTTTCAAATTTTTTTTTAATATTCGAAACGAATTTTTATACTTCGCCAAGTTTTTTATTTTTTTTTAGTCGTTATATTATTATGTCTGATTTTTTAATTAGTTCATAACTTTCAGAAACGAATTTTTTTTATTTTTTTTTAATTTAATTTATGTCCTCGGAGGGAAATCCTGGAAGGGACAACCTTCACACTGCAGTGAGTCTAACATTCCACTAGAGGGAGAGGCAGAGCACTTTTTGAATTATTTGCTTATTCATAGGACATTGTGTATAGCTATTTTTATTCTGAGTTTTTTCCTTTCGGGGGATTTTTCGATTTTTTATGTTTAATTTTCATTTTACTCCCAGCCAGGAATACAAAAAAAAAAACGCGGCTCAGATGTACAACCGGATCCAATCGTATGATGTGTGATGGAGCCATCGAAGAGAATAATTTATTTTTTGAAATTTATCGCCAATAGATTTATTTCTAGGCACCGCCCCTTTTTGTTTTATATCCTTTTTTATTAAAGTCTTTGCTTTATATGCGGTTTTTGCTGCGTTTTTGGAATGACGCCACACTTTTGTACGGTCTTTTTTTTTTAAAACACACGAAAGTAGCTCCTGTACCCTCGATTTTTATTATTATTTTTATTTTTGTTTTTTTTATTGGTATTATTAATATTATTATTTATAATATTATTGTTATTTTTTTTATTATTATTATTGTTGATGTTATTGTTGTTATTGATTTTTTATTATTTTTATTTTTTGTTTTATTTATTATTATTATTATTTTTTTTTTAATAAATTTTTTTTTTCATTTTTTTTTTTTTATTTTATTTTTCTTGTTGTTTTATTATTATTTTAATATTTTTTTTATTTTTTATTGTTTTATAATTATATTTTTTTTTTTAACATTTGTTTTTTTTATTATTAGTATAATTACATTATTATTATAATTTATTTTTTTATTATTATTATTTATTTATTATTAATAATAATAATTAATAATTATTGTAATATTTTATTTATTTTTATTGTTATTTTTTTTTTTTTTTTTTTGTTGTTTTAAATTTTTTTTATTATTAAATTTTAAATTTTTATTTTTATTTATTATATTATAAATTTATTATTTTTTAAATATTTTTTTTTGTTTTTTTATTTTGTTGTTATTATTATTTTTTTTAATTTTTTTTTTTTTAATTTTTTGTTATTTTATTATTATTATTTTATTATTATTTTTATTTAATTATTAATTTTTTGTTATTTTTGTTTTGTTTTTGTTTAATACTTAATATTTATTATTATTAGGGTTAATATTTTGGTTATTTTATTATTAATGTTAATATTATGATTGTTATTATTATTATTGTTAATATTTTATTTATTTTTATTGTTATTTTTTTGCATTATTAATATTTTTGTTGTTAATATTATTGTTATTTTATTAATATTGTTTTTATTTTTATTGGTATTTTTTTATTGTTATGTTGTTGTTATTATTATTATTATTTGATTGTTATTATTAAATGAACATGAAATTTTGAGTTCCAGCTGCAGACATAAAGATGTCAGACTTTGCAATTTGGTGCTTTTAAAAAAAAAAAAGTTTGTGCATTTTATCAAAAATGCCAATATTTGGGGTGTTTGCCGAGTCATTAGGAGCGAAGGGCAGCCACATGGACGTATCACCACGATTTTATCGCTGTCCAGAATGGCGCGGTGCTGGATGTGCGGGGGAGGGGGAGGGGTCTAGGCGCTGTCAGCATTATCAGCTGCACATAGAAAATGGAAACAAATCGACATCACAGGAGATGAATGTTGTCCTTCTTTTTTCTTTTTTTTTTAATAGCTGAAAACCTCAGAGACCTGAATACAGATAATATGAGAACACCATATTACCCCAAGTATTGGCCCCGCCCCCCATATCATGTGATTCAGGTGTTCCCATCCCCTCCCAATCATGTGATTCAGGTGTTCCAATCCCCTCCCAATCATGTGACTCAGGTGTTCCAATCCCCTTCCCAATCGTGTGATTCAGGTGTTCCTATCCCCTCCATATCGTGTGATTCAGGTGTTCCAATCCCTTCCCAATTCATGTGCTTCAGGTGCTCCTATCCCCTCCATATCATGTGATTCAGGTGTTGCAATCCCTCTATATCATGTGATTCAGGTGCTCCAATCCCTCCCAATCATGTGATTCAGGTGTTCCAAATCCCTTCCCAATCATGTGTTTTAGGTGTTCCAATCCCCCTTCCCAATCATGTGATTCAGATGTTCCAATCCCCTCCATATCATGTGATTCAGGTGTTCCAATCCCCTCCATATCATGTGATTCAGGCGTTCCAATCCCTCCGTATCATGTGATTCAGGTGTTCCAATCCCCTCCCAATCATGTGATTCAGGTGTTCCAATCCCCTCCCAATCATGTGAGTCTCCCCCCCCAGGCGTTCCAATCCCCTCCATATCATGTGATTCAGGCGCTCTAATCCCCTCCTAATCATGTGATTGAGGTGTTCCAATCCCCTCCATATCATGTGATTCAGGTGTTCCAATCCCCTCCCAATCATATGATCAGGTGTTCCAATCCCCTCCCACATCATGATTCAGGTGTTCCATCCCCTCCCAATCATGAGTCAGGCGTTCCAATCCCCTCCTAATCATGTGATTCTGCTGTTCCAATCCCCTCCCAATCATGTGATTCAGGTGTTCCAATCCCCTCCCAATCATGTGATTCAGGTGTTCCAATCCCCTCCATATCATGTGATTCAGGTGTTCCAATCTCCTCCATATCATGTGATTCAGGTGTTCCAATCCCCTCCCAATCATGTGATTCAGGTGTTCCAATCCCCTCCAGGTGTTCCAATATCATGTGATTCAGGTGCTCCAATCCCCTCCATGGACACAGGTGTATACAATCCATCCCCTAGGCATGCAGACTGCTTCTACAAACATTGGTGAAAGAATGGGTCGCTCCTGTCCGGACCGTGTGGTCACTTGCTGACTCGGCACCATCCACAGGCAGCTTAACTCTTCCATAAGACACGGAAGCTGAATCTCACACAGTTCTACTTCAGCCAATCGCTGCACAGAGATGGTTTTTCTAGTCTTTTGGAGGCAATGACGTTTCTGAGCTCTGTGAATATCTAAGGCTGGCCATAGATTATGCAATTTTCTTTCCTTCGATTGCTCGATTCTCCCACCAACACAGTCACAGTGTTGACAGGGGAATCCCTCCCACTGAACTATTGTGTTTTGACAACAGGAGGTTTCCCCCGCCATCAGAATACAATGATCACTCCCGGCAGCTATAGCCGTCTGCAGTGATTGTACCAAAAAAAAAAATGACGGATATCAGTCTGCTGCAGGTAGCAAGAAGCATTTCCTCAGTCTCTCCTCCCCCCAGTGACTTTGCCTAGGTGAAGATGATGTCATCAGTCAGCTGCAGGTAGCAGGAAGACTTTCCTCAGTCTTCCCTCCCCCCATTTCATTTGCCTAGATGAAGATGATGTCATCAGTCAGCTGCAGGTAGCAGGAAGCATTTCCTCAGTCTCCTCACCCCCAGTGACTTTGCCTAGGTGAAGATGATGTCATCAGTCAGCTGCAGGTAGCAGGAAAAATTTCTTCAGTCTCCCCCCAGTGACTTTGCATAGATGAATATGATGTCAAAAGTCTGCTGCAGGTAGCAGGAAGCATTTCCTCAGTCTTCCCTCCCCCCAGTGACTTTGCCTAGGTGAAGATGATGTCATCAGTCAGCTGCAGGTAGCGGGAAGAATTTCCTCAGTCTTCCCTCCTCCCAGTGACTTTGCCTAGATGAAGATGATGTCATCAGTCAGCTGCAGGTAGCAGAAAGCATTTCCTCAGTCTCCTCACCCCCAGTGACTTTGCCTAGGTGAAGATGATGTCACCAGTCAGCTGCAGGTAGCAGGAAGAATTTACTCAGTCTTCCCTCCAACCAGTGACTTTGCCTATGTGAAGATGATGTCATCAGTCAGCTGCAGGTAGCAGGAAGAATTTCCTCAGTCTTCCCTCCAACCTGTGACTTTGCCTAGGTGAAGATGATGTCATCAGTCAGCTGCAGGTAGCAGGAAGCATTTCCTCAGTCTTCCCACCCCCCAGTGACTTTGCATAGATGAAGATGATGTCAAAAGTCTGCTGCAGGTAGCAGGAAGCATTTCCTCAGTCTTCCCTCCAACCAGTGACTTTGCCTATGTAAAGATGATGTCATCAGTCAGCTGCAGGTAGCAGGAAGCATTTCCTCAGTCTTCCCTCCCCCCAGTGACTTTGCATAGATGAAGATGATGTCAAAAGTCTGCTGCAGGTAGCAGGAAGCATTTCCTTAGTCTCCCCTCCCCCCAGTGACTTTGCCAAGGTGAGGATGATGTCATCAGTCAGCTGCAGGTAGCATTTCCTCAGTCTCCCCTCACCTCAGTGACTTTGCCTAGGTGAAGATGATGTCATCAGTCAGCTGCAGGTAGCAGGAAGAATTTCTTCAGTCTCCCTTCCCCGAGTGATTTTTCCTATGTGAAGATGATGTCATCAGTCAGCTGCAGGTAGCATTTCTTCAGTCTCACCTGCCCCCAGTGACTTTACCTAGATGAAGATGATGTCATCAGTCTGCTGCAGGTAGGAGGAAGCATTTCCTCAGTCTCCCCTTTTCAGTACAACCAGCCTGCCCATAGATGGATCAAAGTTCTGGATTCATGTATGGCCAGCTTAACACTGACCGAGGAAACATGGAAGAAGTGGGGAGGGTCTGGCTAGGTCTACACCAACCAGCACTAAAGGGAAGGGGGGGGGGGGGGGGACAAAGGAAGAAACCAAAATCTCATTAATAAACATGTTGTAGTGGCCCACAACTGCCGCTAGATGTCAGCATACTACAAAACAACAGCACCCCAATGCGGTCCAATACAGTACCACAACCAACGGTCAACCCGAAGAAAGTTCTCCTCCTCCTGCCCTGCCCGGGGATAACATCTATGTGTGCGTTCTTTGTCGTTTGAACCCGCAGTACGGCCCAGAAACAGCACTATGCCTTCATGGGGGTCATCTCTGTGGTTGACTATGACCCGGATCCGGGAACCTGCCCTACTGGCTGGTTTTTGTCTCTGGGCACTACAGGCCCCGATGAGGCCAGAAGATTGAGGTTCTGGTGCTGGCCCAACTTAGAAACCATTCATTACTGGGATGCGAAGCTAATCAGGGAGCTCCAGGCTTCGGAGCTGGAAACTCTCGTTAATTGCACCTCTCGTCTCACGTTCCCGGCCTAATCAAGCCAAGCTCGTCTGTTTCCAGGTCTGTCAGTTCGAAGAAACGCTCTTTAATGATCGATCTCCAGGGATTTCCTGCTCTCCGTGTACCTCTGCGATCTGCTGGCTGGTGCAAGTCCGTGACTGGGAAGGCCCGAGGCTGGAGAAGAGGAACGCAATTCAGCACCTTCCTCCTGGACAGCTCCATCTCTGCAATGTAGATTGGATGAGAACCTCCTCTGGCCTCACCACACTAGACTTGGTAGACTTGTCCGTCTTCACCAGACGTGGTCAACCTTGTCCCCCCCTAAGGAACTACAGAAATAATGCTCGGTTCTCAGGAAAGTCCCTAACCCCACCCCTTCTTTATCTGTCCATCCATCATAACCAACCATCTTTCCATCATACTTTGGTCCACTTCTCCATCTTCAGTCCATCCTTTCCTGGTCCTACTACTCTCTAGCATCCATCCATATGTCCACTATCTCTTCATCCTTGATCCGTCCAAAACTCATCTGGTTTTACGATTCAACCATCCTTTGAAACATCGTACCTCCGTCCAGCTTTCCATCTCTCCATCATTTGGTCCTACTCTCTAGCATCCATCCATATCTCCACTATCTCTTCATCCTTGACCCGTCCAAAAACTCATCTGATTTTACTGTGCAACTATCCTTTGAAACATCGTACCTCCGTCCAGCTTTCCATCTCTCCATCATTTGGTCCTACTCTCTAGCATCCATCCATATCTCCCACTATCTCTTCATCCTTGACCCGTCCAAAACTCATTGATTTTACTGTGCAACTATCCTTTGAAACATTGTACCTCCATCTGATCTCTCCATCATTTGGTCCTACTACTCTCTAGCATCCATCCATATCTCCACTATCTCTTCATCCTTGATCCATCGTAAAACTCATCTGATTTTACTGTGCAACTATCCTTTGAAACATCGTACCTCCGTCGATCTCTCCATCAATTGGTCCTACTCTCTAGCATCCATCCATATCTCCACTATCTCTTCATCCTTGATCTGTCCACAACTCATCTGATTTTATGATTGCAACCATCCTTAAAAACATTGTACCGCCGTCCAGCTCTCCATCTCTCCATCATTTGGTCCTACTCTCTAGCATCCATCCGTATCTCCACTATCTCTTCATTCTTGATCCGTCCAAAACTCATCTGGTTTTTACCCATTCAACCATCATTCGAAACATCGTACCTCCATCCAGCTGTCTATCTCTCCATCATTTGGTCCTACTCTCTAGCATCCATCCATATCTTCACTATCTCTTCATCCTTGATCCATTCCAAAACTCATCTGATTTTACTGTGCAACTATCCTTTGAAACATCGTACCTCCGTTGATCTGTCCATCAATTGGTCCTACTCTCTAGCATCCATCCATATCTCACTATCTCTTCATCCTTGATCTGTCCACAACTCATCTGATTTTACGATGCAGCCATCCTTCGAAACATCGTACCTCCATCAGCTTTCCATCATTTGGTCCTACTCTCTAGCATCCAACCGTATCTCCACTATCTCTTCATCCTTGAACCATCAATCTCTCATCCTTTATTACCCATCACTTCATCAGCCTTCCAACCTTCTTACATTATCTGTCCATCTTCCCTAGTGGTCCACCATTCTTCTCTTCATCCTTCCATCTGTCATTTCCATGGTCCTATCCAACCTCCCTCTTCATCTGTCCATCCCTTAGTCTCCAATCCCTTATCTGTCATCCATCCCCATTCTTTCCCTAGCTCATTCCTTATCTGTCCATCCTTTCCTGGTCCTACTACCTCTCTAGCATCTGCTCGTATATCCCACCATCTCTTTCCTTGATTGCCATCTCTCCATCATTCTTCCCATACCTATCTATCCTTCCTTGTCTGTCCATCCTTTCCTGGTCCTACTACTCTCTAGCATCTGCTGGTATCTCCACCATCTCTTCATCCTTGATTGCCCATCTCTCCATCATTCTTCCATACCTAGTCTCCTTCCTTGTCTGTCCATCCTTTCCTGGTCCTACTACTCTCTAGCATCTGCTGGTATCTCCACCATCTCTTCATCCTTGATTGCCCATCTCTCCATCATTCTTCCATACCTAGTCTCCTTCCTTGTCTGTCCATCCTTTCCTGGTCCTACTACTCTCTAGCATCTGCTGGTATCTCCACCATCTCTTCATCCTTGATTGCCCATCTCTCCATCATTCTTCCATACCTAGTCTCCTTCCTTGTCTGTCCATCCTTTCCTGGTCCTACTACTCTCTAGCATCTGCTGGTATCTCCACCATCTCTTCATCCTTGATTGCCCATCTCTCCATCATTCTTCCATACCTAGTCTCCTTCCTTGTCTGTCCATCCTTTCCTGGTCCTACTACTCTCTAGCATCTGCTGGTATCTCCACCATCTCTTCATCCTTGATTGCCCATCTCTCCATCATTCTCCATACCTAGTCTCCTTCTTGTCTGTCCATCCTTTCCTGGTCCTACTACTCTCTAGCATCTGCTGGTATCTCCACCATCTCTTCATCCTTGATTGCCCATCTCTCCATCATTCTTCCATACCTAGTCTCCTTCCTTGTCTGTC